GTCATCTATCCTCACTCTCACCCCTCTACCAGAAATATTCAAAAGAATGTGCTACTAAAAGCAGCTCTAGGGAAGAGTTTCCAAAATGCTGTGAACAGTGTGGGCAACATCACAGGAAAAGGCATGGAGCTTCCTCAGGTGACTTCTCTGACACAGACAACACTGCCCTGAAATAAGGCGTCAGGATCAGTATTCTGACTTCAAAATAACTGAGACTCATGGGCTTATAATAACTCAAGCCCAGTATGATCTATTAGACGGGTAAAAAAGATCACAGAAATAGGAGGTCCCCCAAGGTCAGGCTAATGGTCAGCCTGCTGTGTGGCACCTCAGGAAGGACACAGGCTGGGTGCCCAAAGTATGATGTTAAAATTCCAGAACCAACTTCTCAACTTGCTCGCGCCTCGGTTTCCTCTAATGAAGTGGCAAAATGCCATTTCAAGCAGACAGAGGAGCCAGAGCAAAGGGAAAAAGGCACAAATAGTGGCATGCTGGGGGAAACTCGAGTTACTCCAAAGTCGGGCACAGAGAAGGGACCCTGGACAGGCGGCCTGGGGCCGGGGTCCGCATCTAGTATCCTGTGCTTAACTAAGGGGAGGCTTATGTTGGATCTATGAAAGGAGTCAGTGGAAATTTCATAAGCAAACGACTCTGGGAAAGGTTAGGACAGATCTCCTCTCACAATCCCCACTCACATATTAAAATCTTCAGCTAGCCCTGCAGGAGTAGACACCTGCTTACCTGTGCTTTTACCCCAATGTCCGCCCACGGAGGCCCTCCACATCCCTCCCAGGCTCTGGAACTCCCCTTCATGAACATCAAAGTGGATAACACGAAAACTCTGCAGAGTTCTGAGCAGAGAAGTGGCCTCACTAGGCTCTATTTTGGAAAATGACTCTGGCACAGGTAAAGGAAGGGGATTTGTGGCCCACGCTCAACAACAGAGGTCAGAAAGGCAGATGAGACGCGAGTGTTACTAAATTCATACGGGCTCACTTCCTGACACCAACGTGTTTACACCTCTTCCCTCTGTGCTTACTTGTTTAAAGCTACATGGCAGAGCACTGGGCCAGCCTACGGGGACACACGTGTCCTTCTCAGGACTAGTGGCAGTCACGTGGCCGACATCTGCACAAGAAACACAGTGCTTCATTTTTATTTCTGATCAGAACAGCCTTCTCGACATACGACTTTAAAATCACTTTTGAACCTGATCAGAATACAAAATACCCTTTCTGAACTAGCCTTAAATTATAAACTCAAAAGCCCAATGAATGCAGTAAAAAAAAAAACCCAAAGAAATCTCTTGAGATACTTTTTGAAATTTGCTGTTTGTCAACAGAACTAAGCAACCACGTTTGAGTGACTTGAAATCCTGAAGACCGTTGGTCGGTGTGCCAGACACACTGAGGACATATGGCAGCCTCCAGGCGGAGCGGGCCACCCAACACAGTCCTGGGTTCTTGGAACATCCCGGGAACACACTAAGCCCTCTGATCTCAGACTGCTCGTTTATAAAGACCAGAGTAATGTACAGAAAGCACAAGGTTTGTCATAAGTGGTCAAAAACATACAAATAATCATTATTCCACCCTGTTCCCCGACTTTTTCCAGGAAAAGAGCAAACGGCAGGTGATCACAGTTTGGATATCTAGACATTTGCTTCAGCAAAGCTCGGTGCGGAGTTAAGGGAAGAGTTTTAGACTCTTTGATATTTCCTTTTAAATAAAAAATAATTTCCTACATATGTTGACTTCCAGTTATGTGTTAGTCAATGATAATTAATTCTAAGTCTACTTCCTTCTTAAAGGAAGACGCACATGCGCCTCTTGGATGTTCGTACCAAATTGGGGCTTGCAAAGCCACCCTGGCTGCGAACTACTGATCTGCACCCTCACCCCACGGGATTATCTCAGAGCCAAGGAAACCGGGGCTCCACAGTGCTAAGTGAGCTGCTCTGGGGCATGGCAGTTAGCGCCAGGTCAGGTCCACAGGCTCTCACACTCGGTCAGGACAAGCTCCGTCACGAACAACTTAAGTCCCTCCCACCTCTTCTTTGCTTTCTTGAACTTCTTTCACATCCACTTGGAATTTAGCCATCAACAACTGAATACCTGTCCAATCATTTTAACATCAATACGTTACAATATATGAAATATGGGAAGGGAAGGGAGGAAAAATAGCTATAAAGTCACAATGCTAAAACAATCATTTTTAGCATGTTTCCCCCAAATCTTTTTATACGTATACATGCACACAGACATATGTACACACACGCATACCGTACACACCATGTGTTTGTACATATACGTGTCTGTACAATCTGTTTCCCTTAGAATTTCAGTGGATTCTTTCAATCTGAGGTCTTAACTCTTTCTTTAGTCCTGAGAATTTTTCAGCTATTACTTTTTCAAAAATTTCCCTTTTTATTTTTTTCTTTTTTATTATTTTTGAGATGAGGGGAGAGAGAGAGAGAATGCACGCACACAAGTAAGGGAGGGGTAGAGAGAGAGGAGGACAGAGGATCTGAAGCAGATTTTGAGCTGTCAGTGCAGAGTGCAAGCGGGACTGGAACCCACAAACCATGAGATCATGACCTGAGCCAAAGTCAGACGCCCAACCGATGGAGTTGTCCAGGAGCCCCCCTCTTTTTCCTTTTCTTTTCCCTCTTTCAGAAGTTCTCTTGAGTGAATGCTAATATTGACCCCTCCAAATCTATTTTCTGTGGCTCCTGATTTTTACTTTACAGAGCCCATCCCTTAAATTCATGTTCTGGCAACATGGACCTCACTGATCCTATGTGTGCAGCCTGCTAAATAGTTAGCAAATTTTAGTTTTTATTTCAACAATTACATATGTTTCTACTTCCAAGCCTTTTACTGGCTCTTTTTCACTAGTACCTTTTTCTGTTTCAGTAACTTAATTACCTCCCTTGCCTTTCTAAGGATGTTAATCATATGCTCTCATTTTCAAGTCCTGTTCCCATTTAGTTTTCTCAAGCGTGAGCTCTTCAGTTTCTTGACTGGAGGCTCGTCAAATGTTAGGCTATTAATAGCATTTTTGAGCATGCAGGAGACTCTCATTTTGATGAAGTTTCATTTATCAATTTTTTTCTTTGACGCTTATTGCCTTCTGCGTCCTACCTGAGGAGCCCTGCCCGCCCCATGTTATAAACATGTCCTCCTAAAACATGTTTTAGTTTTTACATGTGAATCTATGATCCACTTTGAATTACTGTTTGTGTAGGGCAGGAGAGAGGGCTGTACTTCGTTTGTTCTGATGGAAAGATCCAGATGCTCCAGTACCACATGCTAGAAACACCTTCGTTTCCCCATGGGACTTCCTTGGCAACGTGCTGACAAGCAGAAACATCTCAGTGAGGGTCTATTTCCAGACTTTTTTTTTTTTTTAAAGCTTTTATTTTTAAGTAATCTCTACACCCAACGTGGGGCTCAAACCCACAACCTTGGGATCAAGAGTCACACGCCCTACTAACCGAGCCAGCCATGTGCCCCTAGACTCTATCTTTTGTTCCACTCATCTCTTTGTTGGCCTCCTCTCCCTCTCCCCCCTCCCGGTAACACTGTCTAGGTCACTACCATCTCACAAGACTTGAAGTCAGATTGTTTAAATTCTCCCACTTGTTTTTATACCAAGATCGCTTGGCATATTCTAGGTCCTGTGCGTTTCCACATAAATGTTAGAATCAGCTGGGTCACTTTCCCCTGCAGAACTCTTGGTTAGGATTGTGCTGCACCTTGAGATCAATTTGGGGAGAACCGACATAGTAACTGCATCGAGTCCTGCGCCCCAGGGACATCACAGACTTCTCCCGTTTATGTGGGTCTTTAGATCTGTCAGCAATGTTGTGCACTTCCCAACTCAGTTCCTGCATGGCTTCTGTTAAATCTGTCCCTAAACATACTTGGCAATTCTTGGCTGTAATACCATCTTTGTGACTGAGGTTTCCTACTGGCCTCTTCTCCATCTTGGCTTGCACGGCCCTCCCTGGGGGAGGCGAAAGCAATTACTGGAGCAGGTGCTCACAACGGCCGAACACGGTGGGGGCAGGCTTGGGTGCGAGAGGCACTTCCAGACCCTTCTGCGCCCCTCCTTCCTCTTACCCTCTGGCGTTCCCTGTCCTACTCTGTTCGCTACTGTCACTAAAGGGAACCCCCACGTGGGTGAAGGGGACGAGGGACAGCCATCCACGGGCTGACTGCTCTTGTAGGTGGAGACCCTGGGCCCCGCCCTCCTCCAGGGCCACCAGCCGAGCGCAAGGACAGTGTTTCTGCCCCACTGGGCAGTGCTGTCCGCCATCCATCGCCTCGCCCAGCCTCTCAGGGAGCCCCCACAACTTCCAGTCCTCCAAGGCTGCCCCACTTGCTTGTTTCTGAGGAAACTACATTGTCACTTCATGACTTCAAAAAAATTATTTTCGGGACGCCTGGGTGGCTCAGTCGGTTAAGCTTCTGACTCTTCATCTCAGCTCAGATCATGAACTCATGGGTCAGAAAACAGTTCCTTAGTCTAGACCAGATATTACTTTGAGTAGCTGATTGTGCTTTTACATTAATCGTCATCTGAAACAAGAAGGCCGAGAACTGGAGGGAGACACGGAGAGGCAGGCCGGCATGATTAGCACACAGACCACACGAGAGAGCAGGAATGAAGCTGGCGTCCCTGCCGGCCAGTCGGACACAGCTGGCTCACGCAGGGTGCTGGTGGGGAAGCCAGCTGCTCTTCAGGGGGCAGGAAGCCACGGAGGCGATCGTGTGGGGGTGAAAGGTGTTTGAACCACCAGGCCAGAGTAGACAATTAACAAAACAAAACACACTCCTAAAAGTGAAATGTCCCAACTCAACTTTATAATGCACATGCCTAGAAGGAAAGGTTGGGCTGACCAGTCAGCAATGGTGATCAGCAGCACGCATCGCGAGGACCGCGAACGTGAGATCTGCACAAGGAGACCAAACCGCTAGGAAAGAATGTGTACTCACCCAGCCCAGAGATATTTATTGCTTTCACGGATTTCTTCATTTTGTAAAGAACCATCCGGTCCACGTCCAAAGCCTAAAACATAGAGAAGTGCATTAATTAAAACGTGTTTGAGCTTAAATAATGACTCTCAGAGACCCGCCTTGTGAGAGCCATTCTGGGGGCCCCTGTGGAGCTGTCTCCGTGTCCCAAATCTTCAGTGTGGCCTGGAGACCGAGTCATCCCTAAAGGAGCTAAGAATTAACCCAGACCAACTCCACCCCCACCAAGCCTCAATTCTCCTGTGAACAAGCAAGGCTCGGGAGCCTGCCAGGGGCTCCTTCCGGACACAGGCCAAGGACAGGGAGTGGGGGTGGGGGAGGAGCGACGGGGGTGTGGGGAGGCAGATCTGCCACGAGTGTGTCCCCACCCTGGCAAGACCGCCAACGTGCAGGCCAGACCGCTCCCCCACCCCCCCACCCCCGCCCCGAGGAGGCCGCATGGTCTGGTGGGAGGCAAACCCACTCTGGATTCGTAAAGACCCAGATATGAAAGTGTTTGGGTTGGAAGGCATGTTCTGCCTAAATCTCTTCCAGCCTAGATTCCTCTTCCAGAACCAGGGAATAACAATACCTACTTTGCCAGGCCAAATGATTTATTAGACACACCTAAGTATCTAATATTCCTCTACGACATTCCATTTCCTATTACACGTTAACAGACCAACCACTATACAGGGGAGCATATGGCACTTACAAGGCTAGCACGCTGCTCAGTGACTAATCAAATCAGGAGTTTGAATTACAGGACTACTTTCTCAAAAGGTACAGGTGTAAAATTTCCCTTTAACCCAACTGAACATCACAGAAGAGGTGACAGGCAGAAGAATCTGCAACCTGGGACAGTGACACCCACCACAGAGGCTACTGTAAAGGAAGAAAGAACTGCAGAGGAAGTGCCGAGCCCCAAATCTGGCATACGCTCGATAGCATTATTATTACTCATCGTGAGATTTCATCACAAGAACCTGCAACAGCCCTTCCCTGCCAGCCTTCCCGAATCACCTTCCATGTCAGCATCCTAAGTCCTATTCGAAAGCAACAATGGCTAGTTTAGTGGAGGCTAAGAACAGATGTGACTGGTGCTGACATTAAACAGAAAAATGATCCCAAGGCAGCAGGCCATTGACAGAGTGGTTACAATAAAGAGAAGTTGTATTTTGTTTTTTAAATCTTTTATGTATCTTTGAGGAGGGGGAAGAGTGTGAGGAGGGGAAGGGCAGAGAGAAAGAGGGACACAGAATCTGAAGTGGGCTCCAGGCTCTGAGCCCGATGCGGGGCCCCAGCCCAGAAACCATGAGATCATGACCTGAGCCAAAGTCAGAGGCTTAACCTACTGAGCCATCCATGCACCCCGAGAAGCTGTATTTTAAAAAGCATTATTTTCTGATATACTGGAAGAAAGGGTAGGTATGAATGGACACAAGGAAGTCAAAATTTCTTTTATTAAAAAATGATCGTTTTTCTTTTTTTTTTTAATTTTTTATTTATTTCTGAGAGAGAGAGGAGAGAGGACAGCATGAGCAGGGGAGAGTCAGAGAGAGAGGGAGACACAGAATCTGAAACAGGCTCCAGGCTCTGAGCTGTCAGCACAGAGCCTAAAACAGGGCTTGAACCCACAGACTGTGAGACCATGACCTGAGCTGAAGTCGGACACTTAACTGACTGAGCCACCCAGGCGCCTTTCTTCTGGAAAACTAGCTTTTATTTTCCTAGGTCATCTCTCATCTGCTCCAGACCTTCCCTTCAGATGCGAAAAGGCATATGGAGAAAGCATTTAACCACCGAACTCTCTCCGGAAGACTCCTCACCTTTAACTCCCCAGTCTGCCACCCGGAAGACAGTACCCTGCGGCGTGCGTAATGATCCAGAGGCTTCTCCTGCCAGTGACAGCAAGAAGACGGGATCTGCTCAGGATGGTGTCAGAAACAGCGGTCCCTGACGTTTATCAACCACATGCCAGAGAGTTCCACTCTCACAGAGACACACGTTCAGGGCACTCGTCACCACTCTGGAAGATCCCAGCCCCCACGCGAAGGGCCATTACCAAAAAACACATTTGATCTAATCGACATCTACTCCAACACTCGGAGAGAACACGGTCTGGAGCTGTGAGAACAATCTCTGACCTGTGCTTGAATCATTAAGCCTGCTCCTCCTCCAGAAGCTTCCCAGGCGCCAGCCCGGCTGGCCTGCATGGGACGGAAGTCAGCCGGTGTCCTCATGAAGTCCTTGCTGCAGGCTCGCAGCGGGTATGGAGGGAGAAAACGTCACCCACACAGGAGAGAAGCGCAGAACACGGGTTCGAGGGGCCACTCCCCACCAGGGACGCCAGTGCTATTTCCACATGTCCTCAGGAGGAGGCCTTGACTCCCAACCTTCTTCCTCCTCTTTATTTCTAACACTGTGCGCCCTCTTCCCTGCCTCTTCTTGACCTGTTAGTTTTACTCCGGCTTTGCGAGTTGATTTAGAGGCATGTCCTCCCCTCCTGCCTTCTCAGACGGGTTAGGTACTCACCCAGACTTTTTCTGTACCCTGCGCTTACTCAATATTTCATCTGATAAAATTTACTGAGCACCTACTACATGCCAAGTACTAACTGAGGTATTAGACATAAAACAGGTGTGCAAAACAGGGCAATGCTGGTGCCGGCATGGAGTTCACAGTCTAGCGAGATAATGCCCTGGAGAAACACAAAGCCAGAAGTCCAGGACTCTCATGCAGGTGCTTCTCTTTTTCTTTTTTTCTTCTTTGTTTTTTATGTTTATTTATTTTTGAGAGAGACAGAGAGGCAGACTACAAGCAGGGGAGGGGCAGACAGAAAGGGAGACACAGAATCAGCAGGCTCCAGGCTCTGCACAGAGCCCGACACGGGGCTCGATCCTAGGAGCTGTGAGATCATGACCTGAGCTGACGGAGCCACTCAGGTGCCCCGAAGTGCTGTTCTCTTTGTCCTGCTCACCTCAAGACCTGCGCTTCCTAATGTACCTACGAGACACACGTGTCAACTGAGCCTGGAAATACGGCCGGTACCACACAGTGAAATGGCAATATTTTGGACATGTTAGCATAAATAAAGTATTAATATGATTAATTTTATTCTTCTTTTTTGCTTTTTTGCATTTTTGTCTCCTGTAAAAGCAGGAACTTGCTCATCGCTGTGTCCCTGGTGCCCTGCACAAAGCTGACACAGGACAGGACTCAGCAGCTCAGTCAGTGACCGCAAGACCAGAAAGGCCAGGCAGGGACACAGAGGCTGGCTGGCAAGGGTACCCGGCTGGGCCTGCAGACAGTGGGCAGCTATCGAAGGTTCTCGGCAGGGGAGAATGGAGAGCTGTACTTGAAGGTCACCCAAGCCACAGTGGGAGCAATGGATCTGAGCAGGCAGGAAGCGGATTCAGGGAGCAGATACCCAACGGGGAAGGACCTGGCGGGGACCCATGATTGGGAAGCCATATGGGACTGGTACAGGGCAGCAGACATTCTGGAAAAGTCAGCGTGTGGCCAGGGAGATCTGCTGGGCCTCCTCAACCAATTTTAGCTGCCTAGCCTTTGGCATTCCCACAGATGAGAGAGCAATCTTCTGTCCACAGGACTTTTGCTCAGTTGTGCTGAGAAAAATGTGAACCAGAGTGGACGTATACCTCGGTGCGGAGGGCCAACCGCAGATGAAATATGCTTCATAACTCTGCTGAATGCTGACAAGTTTCCTCCCACGCCGTACTGGGGGACACACCCCTCCCTGATCTTTTCCTGCATAAAAGTCTTGTAAAAATAGGCCACCGTATGGAATCTTCTACCTCTGTTATTAAAGGGGATGTGCTGTTTCCTGAACTCAGGGGAAGAGTAGATAAACGGTAACAGTTGCTTTCCTACAGTCTGTTAAGAGGAGCCTGGAAAGAAAGGTGGGGGAGGTGGAGAGGTAATTTTAAATTAAAACTGCAAGAGGGAAAAGCAATTACCTCCCCACTCAAAAACACACCCTTCATTACAGAGCATATTTACAGATAATTAAGATTAAACTTGGTCAGGAAAAGTCAGAATGATTAAGACGAAGTGCTGGAAATAGCCTCCTGTCAATTCTAAATGAAAACAGCACTGGAAACCTAAAACAACAAAAATAGCAAAACTGGAGAGCCAAAGGTGTCCACCAATCGGGCTGAGATCCCTAACAGGCCGGGTGCTCGCCCACACCCTCCCCTCGCCAAGTCCACCCGAGCTAAAGAGAAGGAAACAGAGCTGCGGCCTTGGCCAGAACATGTGTGTAAACACTATAAACACAGGCGAAAACTGAAGAGCCAATACGGACCTAGGCGGGTCCAGCGCGGCAGCTGATGTCTGGCCAAAGCCCATTAATTCTGAGGGCCCGCACTGCAGCTGACCCTCCGTTTAGAAAACAAGCCTTACAGAGTAAATTTATCATGTAAACAAGACTGTAGAGATGTGTCTTCAGATATTTTAGAGGAAAGTAAACAATGGTCTCCAACCACTCCAGAAGCATCTCCCTTGATCCCTCGGACCACTGAGAGAAGGGCCAGGGCTCTGGTTCATTCCTGCAGCAGCTCCCTGTGGTCTCTGCGCTCCCGGGAGGGTGCAGGGGGCACGAGGGGAGCCCCCCAGGAGGGGACACAACACTGTTCACTCTTTTCCCTCTTTACACCTGTGCTGTCCAACTGGGCAGCCACTAGCCACAGAAGACTATGGAGGGGGAGCTACAATTTGGTAAGGAATCCAGTTCGTGTCCTGCGCCTTTCTCAGGAGCCGTAGCCACACACAACGGACTATGTCGAAACACGCCACCCCTTTATGCTCTTCCTCTGCAGACCCCTCCGCGTGCCCTCCCCTAAGGCTGTCCCTGAGCCCCGGGTATCATCGAGGGGGGCTTCTCCCTCCTTCCCCATGGGCTCCGCATAGATGTGACCGGGTGGCATCTCCTCTCCCTTTGGAAGGCTGAGGCAGTGTTTGTTCCCAGAGGCCACAGGGATGTCCATCCTGGCACAGGGGCACGTACGTCCTGACACTGGCGGGTGGAGGCCA